CCCAATTCCCGTCGAAGCATCTCCTTAAAAACTTTGTGACTATTCTGAAGTGCCAAGGGTGAAGGGAGATTGTTCCATTCTTTAGATGTTTTTGGTATAAAAGAACTACGAGTAGTTTTAAGCTTAAAGTTTGTAATTACTACCCGTCTGTTATGTCCTCGGCATAAAGTCTGACGAGTGGTAAGAGGTGAGATAAGCTTGTGGGAAGAAATAGGGCTTCTACCGTGATAGATTTTATGAAAGTAAGTGAGTGTGTAATATTGACGACGCACTGATAAAGACAATAGATTCAGTTTTTTGAGAAGAAAGTCTGGAGAACTTAAATAGTCTTCCGATCGAGTTAAAAATTTTATCAGGGGTATTCAAGGTCATAGCGAAGACGTATAATTTTGAAATTTTATTTTAGACCTTTCTTTAGAGAGTTATAGGAAAAAAACCGAAAAACATTCAAAAACCAAGTTTTTGAATTTTAGAAACCCTATAACTCGCTAAAGAAAGATCTAAAATTCGAAAACTCATCGGAAAATTCTGAAAACGTCTCATTATGTAAAAAACACCTTCTTCTATCAGACTATGCGTAAGAAAAATTTTGAATGTACAGAAAAGGAGCGAAAAGCTTATGAAACTAAAAATTGATTATTTTAGGCTTTGAAGAAAAAACTTCAAAACTGCATAACTTTTTGAAGAAAGGTCGTGGAGTGCTGGGAGTGATCTCATTTTGTAGCCCGCACTTTCCTCTACAGCTATGCTCAGCTCAAAATCCGAAATTTTTTCAAAAAAGAGGGGGAGGCACCCATAAATGGGCACACATTCGTTGCCACCTACAAGGAATTCATCAATTTGACCTCTCAAAAAAGTTCTCATAACTGCTTTATCTCTCTCTCTTTCTCTCTTTTCAAATGTCATATTTGACTTACTATTATTTTCCAAAAAACTATCTTCTAATTTTTCCATAATTTCTTTAAATATTGTTGTAAAATCTTTAAATACTTTACTATAAATATATAATAATGTTTGATATAAATTATATTTTTTTGCTACATGAATTATTTGATCAATATCAAGACATGATACGTCAATACGCGTTAAACATTGTTCCAATTGATAAAAATAACCTGAATATATCAAAGTAAACATTAACATCATATTTAATAATTTTAAAAAGATATATTACCTTGTTCAATGTAAAAATTAACAAATTCTTTCATAACAATAGGTGTTATTGAATCAAATCGTGCTTGTAAAATATAGGGTTCTAAACATTGTAAATAAATTCCATGTGCTATACTATCTTTTGAAAATAAATCATATATTTGACCGTATAATAAATCTAGACGATCCATTGATAAACAATAATCAATTGTACGTGGTAATACTTTTTTAAAATGTTGTTGTAATAAATCAATTTTACCATGTTGTGGACATTCAAAATTTAATGCCAATTTTAAATAAGAATTTAATAATGATACCATTTTATCACTTATACATTGACGACCTTTTTCTTGATCAATTGGTAAACCTAAAAATGAAATCAGTTGATAAAAATATTTTCCATTATCTTTCGCTTTATAATCTTTGTATTTAATTTTAACTTTCTATTTTTCGATATAATTTATAAAGTGTTTCTAAATTTAATAATTACCTGTCAAACCTTTAGCTTTTCCAATGTACATTGAATAGCCTAATTCTAATGCTTGTTCATATTGATTTTTCTCATTTTCAATATAATAATCAATACGTTCGTTCCAAGTTCGTAGTTGAAGTTCATATAAATTAGTTGTACCTAGTAAAAATACACATCCTTGACTTGTAATAATTGTGGAATAACATGCATTTTGTCCAGCTGATGCCAAAGCACAACTAACATTGCCACCAGTTGCCAATGATCTGAAGAATGATGTATTATAAACAAGTTGACAATATGATAACGATATACATTCTAATTGTTCTTCTGAACGTTGATCACTAAACATATAAGAAAATAATAGAATATTATATATCTAAGAGAAACAGAGAAATTTACATAATATGTAAACGTTCAGATATATCAAATAAAGCAAATACACGTGCATTTAACCAACAAAATGATTTAATTTGATAATTAACATCAATCTGTTTCAATTGAGTAATATGTACTTCATTATCATGAATATGTTGAATCTAGAGAGAAAAAAAAATAATCATCTATAATTTATATATGATGAAAGTAATTTATAATATTACCTGAAAAAAAGTACATTGTTTATCTCTAACAGCTGCTAATACAGGATCAATACATTGTGTTTCATTTCCAATATTAATAATTATAAATTGCCATTTAAGTATGGGTAAAGTTGATGAATTTCCTAACATTCGATGTATACGTAATATTTTAACTTGTCCATGTAATTTTAATGCAATGATAAATAATTTTGTAAATGTAGCTAAAGCAACAATATACATTGACTTTAATGGATGTTGTTTTAATTTTTCAGTTGTTTCAGTAAATATCAATGGTTCAATACAACAGACTTCACCTCGACTACCACTAAATAGACATTTTGATTGATAATCACGTTTAATATGTCGAGTAAATTGCATAACATAAACACTTCCACTACTATCACTAAATAAGGCAAGTGTTGGATCATGTGTATATTTAACATGTAATACAGCTGTGTCAGGTAAATGACAATCGGATATATTTCGTAATATTTTTCCATTTGTACAATCATACATATGAATTCGTCCTCTAGCATAGCCTACTAATAAACGTGTACAATCATAATTGAAGTTTAATGCTGATACAGCACCATTTAAATTCATTGGAGTATTTAAACAATGTTTTAATTTTTGTGTTCTATGTTCAAATAGTAGTACACAACTTTTTGTTGTACCAATAGCTAGAAGACGATTTGAAATAACATCAATACATGTAGGATTTCCATAACTTGTACGTTCCATACACAATTGAAGTTGATTCGATATTGTATTTAATTCTTTTACTTTTATTAATGAACCATGATTTATTTGATCATGTTGGGGTATATCGAGTTGAGGAATATCAATTAATGAATTTGATAAAGAATCGAGTGAAATGTTAGATAATGCAGAATTATAATCATTTGTTAGAAAAGAATCGAGAGATGATGATAATTGAGATGATGGATGAATATACGAGTTGATTAATGGTACGTCTGATGTATTATGACTACTGTATGATGATGATGTATGCTGTTGATCATTTAATATACTTTCTAAACTTGGTAAAGAATCTAATTGTGGAATATCGAATTCTTTATCATCAATTTGTGATAAATCGAAATCTGATAGTTGAATTAATGTTGTATTAATCAACTGATCATCGGACAGTGAATCGTCCATTAAAATTATGGACGCTTCCGATGAATTTTTTTCCAAATCACTAAAAATAAAAAATTATAATGACTGTTTTCTCAAAATTTACTCTCTATAATATAATGGATAGATTATTTTCTCGTCATTGATAAAACAAAAATACTTTAATACAATTGAAAAAATTTTACTCACTTTTTTTCAATCACTATTTCTGTCATATGATGTTTCGAATTCTATTTGAAAAACAAAATAAAAATTTTTTTTTAACTAACATATCTAAAAATGAAATATAAAAATTGCGAAAAATATATATATTTTCTCTCTCATAATGGTTTGTAGAAAAAATGAAGAGTGAAAGCAAAATGTTTAAAGTGTATACAACTCTGCATTTATTGTCCTTTCTCTAAAATTCTATTCTTATGCGTAATGATCATTGTTGAACAACCATTTGATTTTATAAGAAAATGTGTCTCATTTTTTCAGTACACACACATAATCGTCAATAGTTAAACTATTTCTTCTTGTTCTTTTCCTTCTATTGCTACAATCACGAAGTAGATATATTTAAACAATTTTCCGTACAAATAGTACTCATTTATTATACTCGAAGAAAAAAGAAAAGCAAACATTTATTATCAAAAGTATCCTGTAAATAAATGCATAACCATCTCTACATATTAAATTAATTGAACGAAAAATATTCACATAAATCAATTAAAACTGAAAAATAAACTGTCATGAAATAGCGTTAGGATGATTCAATATAATAAATAACAAAAAAGAAATCAAATAAAAATCAACAAAATAAATAAAGTCTATCTGCCAAAAATTTGGTTCATAGTAGAATTTATCAATTTTTATTAAATAATTAGTGTAAAAGAAAAACAATTTTTGTCAAAAAAATCTATTGCTTGTAATCATAATCTTAATCTTGAGTAAGCGATTTTACATTTTACTTTTTCGTGTACGGATAAACATTTTTGCGATTTAATCAACTTTTCGCAATACTAATTATTCTTCTCTATTTTAAAACTCAATTGTATCCAGTATTGTAAAATGTTTACTAAAATCAATGTTTAGCAATGGCGTTTGATTTTGACGAGCTCCCCAAATCGCAGCACCTAGACAAAATGGAAAGCGGTGTTTACAAAAATGTATACATTTAAATTTCTTCTACAAAGTAATTACCAATGGCCGCAGGCGCTGTCAATTGGACTAATTCAATCTTTTGAAATGGAATGATTTTTGAGCTTAATAACGCATCAATGAAACCTTATAAATAACATCAACAAAGAAATAAACAATAGAAAATAAAATTATTTCACTCTCACCTGGTTTCAAAAATTTCCAACTTTTAAACACAGAACCATTTGCAATCACTTTCAATGTGCCATCTTCGTATAATTGCTGAAAAAAGAAAAAGAACTATGAGATTATTTTACTACATAGTTTATATGATATTAGTGAAAATGAGGTTTTCGCTGTATGTGAGAGTCTAAAAAGCCGTTCGGTTTCACACCGTGTCAATAGTGTAAAAAAGGCAAGGGAGAAAAAAGCGGACTCCTGTGGATTGCTGTCTAGAAGTCTCTATTATCTATTTCAAAATATAATGCACTCCAACGTTTTCTGAATATTTAGAGACTTGCGGTTTCCAGTTTTTTAAAGCAGACATCAGAGGACATCGATCTATGCAGGAATTAAGCTTACCATGGGACACCTTTCAAATAAAAAAAAAATCTGAGTTTGCCATTCTAAAAATATCTAAAAACAAAAAAACTCATGGCAATGTTGATTTTTCGAAAACAATTGAAGATCCTAGTGAAAACCTATACTAGACGAAATAACTCATAGCTGCCTGTTTTCACGTAAAAATCAGAAACTTCATAACTCAGTCAAAATCGATTCGAACTATGTCAGAATATCAAGGTATACTCTATTTTATCTACTCTATATCATGCAATTAAATACTACTTTTAAAAACCAATAGAAACTACTTTTCAAGAAGGATTTCTAGGGGTCTTCAAAAGTCAGAGAATATTTTTATTAAACTTAGCTAGACAGTCATATTGTACATATAAAATAGAGTATACCTTGATATTTTGACACGAGTTTATTTATATTATGTATATTTTGCTTTTAGAATGGCAAGCTCAAGGTTTTTGATTTGAAAGATTCTCCATGGTAAACTTAATTCCTTCATAGATCAATGTCCTCCTGTATCTGCTTTACGAAACTGAAAACCGCAAGTCTCTAGTTATCATCGTTCAAACGTTATTCGGAATGCATTATATTTTGAAACAGATAATAGTAATCTTAACATTAGCCACTTCCTACGTAAAATGCCTCAAATTAATAACTAATTTGTAGACAAAGAGCCGATCAACGACACAACTCATGCTTCTCCTGTCAAGATGAATACACGCTTTGTTAAATATACATTACTTTGGATCGTGAATAATAAATAGATAAATATAAAAGCATTTCGTATAAGGTAGAGCTAATTCAAAAATCAGGTGAAATTTTTTTTGAATTTATTATACACCATCATTCGATAGACTTTTTCGAGCTGATCAAGAATATGTATTTTTTAATTTTTCGAAATGTTTCGTTCATGTCGAAAAATTGAGAAAACTCGAACGACCTCAAAACTCAAAAAAACGATGATGTTCAAAAAAGTTTTTGAACAAAACTCGATCAAATGATGCATAATAAGTTCAAAAAAATGTTCACTTGATTTTTGAATTAGCTTCACCTTATAAAAGGGTAGAAAAACCACAATTAAACGGCAATAGCAGACAAAAAAAACTAACTTTTCGAGTGTACGTATGAAAGATAAGATTAATGTCGAACTAAAAAATTCGTATTCCAAATTAAAAATTAATAATGCTGATAAATATTTACACAAACAGTCCGCAATTTCGCTGTTAATAGACAAAAATTATCGTATATCAACACATAGATTGTCTCGAGTAATTCAAACAAGAAAAAAGAAATAGGAACAATTCACCTTTTTTTCTATTTTGTATTTCTTTGTGGAAATAAATAGTGTGTGCTGGGTATTCTTAGCTGTTATTTGGGTGGCACAAAGACGAATTAGCTAAGCACAAACATTAGAATACTTAAAATTGAGTAGTTTCACACAGTCACTTGTGGACCCCCGTGAACTCCTGTAGACTCTCATGGATTCTATGGACTCCTGGAGTCCGTTTTTTTCTCCTTGAAGAAAGGTCAGGCTGTTTTACAAGATTTTCATATTGCATGACATCGATCAAAGAAAATGTACACTATCGTCTCACTTTACAAATCCAATTTTACACTATACAGATTACAGTTACACTCAGTTATTGATTTTAATATAATGGAAAAATGGAAGATGGTACATTAGATATTAGCAACGTAGTCAAAAGTATATGTCAAAATACGATATCCATAGAACTGTTTTCGAAATCTTTTTTTCAATCGGAGGAAAAGCGGTACAGTTTTATTATCATAAAATCTCATATTGTACCGTATCTACCATTCACCTTTGATATCTCATGCAAAATATCAATTTTTAAACAGAAATCTTATGTAAATAAGTATTTATCTGTGAAAGAATGGTAAAGATGTAACATAAGTAAGCAGTAATGATTCAGTATTTCAGTAGAAATCACATCTTTACTTATTAGTTACTGGATCAAATACTAAGAGCAAGAACATAATTAATACCTTATTTATATAAGAAGAAATTGCTCTTAAATGTAGACCAAGCATAAAACCAGCTTCGCATAAAATTTCTATAGATGCGTCATCACTTTGAGCACTAGCTACTACAATAAACGAGATAAAATAAAAAGATATAGCAAAATTTTAAGATAAGAGCTAAATGGGAAGACAGAAACAATATACGTACATTCTCCAATAATTTGAGAAAATCGAGCACTAAATAAAATAGATCATATTATAAAAGCATATTTTCTACTTAGAAGTTACACGATGACTATTGTTTTGATTTGAAATTTCTAAAGTATCGTTTTTCAGAAAAGAAAACTGTTCGACCCTAGCTTCATGCAAGAATTAATTTTGTGTTTTAATAGTTTAAGTTTCAGAATGCTATAATGAGAATTTATATTCTCGATTTCGTTCTAGCTCAAGATTAAAATTTAAATCAACTGTTGTTAGAAAAACATTTTCTAAACAAAAATAGTTTCTAAATATTCAGCCTCTAGTTTTTGTAAAAAAAAAGAATACCATTAGATGACAGACTTGGCGAGATTTTGGCAAGGATTAGCAATTTTACAAAGTTAATTACATATACTTACATGGAATCTTTTTGAAAATCTTTATAAAAATGACTTAACAGTTGGCTCATTTCTGTTATCTAAAATGAGACATAATAAACTTACCATTAGTAGTTCCAACAATTAGATAATAATCATTACTTGAAAGAAATTTTGTATTTCTCCTCTAAGGCGTGTTAAATCATATCGAGACACTTTTAAATTATCTTGATCATCAATCACTTTTTTAATGGCACGTTGTGTAATCCAATAACCTCCAGCTTCATCTCCAAGTAAATGACCCCATCTAAACAAACAGAGGTTTTTCAACATTTATGTCAATCCAGAATAGTCTTTGACTAATATTAGTTTCCTTCAATCAAAATCTCTCTAAACTAACGAGGAAACCTCGCCAAATATACTCTCATTTTTTTAACAAAATATAGTAGGCTGTAGGTAATCGACCATGCTGATTTCGAATATGATATTCATTTGGGTTCATAGGCCTTTCCTAGCCGATTTCTAGAAAACCAGTTTCTAGAAACCTCGAAAAATTCCTAAAACCTTTTCTAAATAAGTCACGATTGTAGCCCGCGAAATTCGGATCAAAATGAGACGTCTCCAGCTCTACACGAACTTTTTTTGCAAAGTTATAGAGTTTATAGGAAAAGCTCTAAATGTTCATTGTCACCTCAGAGCTACAGAAAGAAGATGGAAAAATGAATTTAGGGCTTTTCTTGTAAACTCTATAACTTTGCAAAGAAAGGTCGTGTAAAGTTGGGAGACGTCTCATTTTGATCCGAATTTCGCGGGCTACAATCGTGACTTATTTAGAAAAGGTTTTAGGAATTTTTCGAGGTTTCTAGAAATCGACTAGGAAAGGCCTATGAACCCAAATGAATATCATATTCGAAATCAGCATGGTCGATTATCTACAACCTACTATATTTTGTTAAAAAACGAGAATAAATTTGGGGAGGCTCCCTCGTAAGTTACTAGATTGATTTATAATATAGAATGGTACAAGTTAACAATAATCTCTTTTACAATCTATAATTAGACAGAAAGAAATTATTCAAATGTAAATTAATATTTACCCGCCCGCTCGTTTACTAGTACCATCTGGATTATAAACAATACAATTGCTTCCTGTTCCAGCAATGATCACTACGCCACCTTGTGAAATAAAAACAAGTACAGAAATTTACAATAGCAGAGAGAAGTAATAGATTTATCTTTGCTAATTACCATAAGAGGATAAAGTAAACGCAGGACCATATAAATCTTCTCCAATATAAATGTGTTTCGTATCAATGCCGGCTTTTTCAAGTTCTTCACGAATATTATTTTGGGATTCAAGTTGTCCAGCTCCACTCATAGCCATTCCCTTGAAAGCAACTTGATTAATTATAGAATGAACAACACATTCTAAGTTTTTTCCTATGGGTAGCTTCAAGTTTTATCAATAACAGAGCATGACCACCGTCTTAGTAAAAGATAATTCTTCCATGCAACAATTAAAACTACCCATCCATCGAAGAAAAAAGAAAATAATTTCTATTTACCACTGACACAAGTTTTTGAGTATTCATGTTCATTTTGGATCGTACATCGTTGATAAGATTTTTGAGTAAAACAGCAACGTTCTCGAAGCCAAATACCTTAAAATATGATTAAAAACGAATTATTTTATCAAAATATCATCATTTTACCTGCTAATAATTTACCCATGGGTTCGATGGACCAGCTGCAGCTGTGTATTGTACCTTGCCATATTCATCGATCAATACTGCTTCAGTTTTTGATGCACCTCTAGATATAAACAAGTAAAAGAGAATTTACACATAGAATTTTCAAAAGAACTCACCCCTCAATACCGAGAAATAGATGCTCTTCTGTCATGGATGGAGGAGAAAACAAATATCTACAAATTTAGATCTTATAAATATCAGATGAAACCGCTTAACTTTCGTCATTACATAGTAAATGTTCATAGTTAAATCAATAATATATTTTTTTCGAACGCTATAATATTTGGTTTATTATGTCATAGAAAGACAGTTCATTCTTCATATCGGCTTATGAACATAACATAATTGTGCCTTCTCGCTTCATTTTTGTTTATTTTTCATTGAAATTGCCATGAAAAAGAAAAAGAAAAGCAAACAACGACGATAAAAGAATGAAATAACGATGAGATTAGTTAAGAATAAAACATACTATTACAAACGCAAAAAATACATATACGCACGACAAAAATCTGAATAGCTCAAAATAAATGAAATTATACGAAAGACAGGCAAACAAACAAACAAACAAAAAATTGAGATGTTTTGCAAGAACAAAAAATACTACTACTCAACCAAAATAAATGTTTAGCACTTTGATAAGATTTAAAATATCTGGGTATAATTGAATATCTACCGACTGTGTAGCAGAGAAGAAACGGTACCCAACGCTACGTTTTTTAAGACTATTTTTTATTTCAAAGATAAAAACATTCACACACACACGCACATACACTAACATATAGAGACAACAAAAGAACGAGTAAAAAAAAGTTGATAACAGTTTTGACTATCATCTATTATATGAATTTAAATTGCCTGGATAAGACTGTGTTGAAGACATTGGAGATGAAGATGAATAATGTTGTTGTGCTTGTTGTTGATATGACGGATGGCTAATAGATGAAATCGACTGTGATGTATGAACACTGTTATTAACTGGAATATTTGACGGTGATGGATTATTGCTGTAACCATTTGCTTTTTTCTGTGAATAATTATCCATATCTACACGATTTTCTAAATAGAATAAACAAAATTTGGAGATTAGAATTTAATGACACTTGCCTCATGGTTTTCTATTACTCAAATGAAATAACTTTAATAAAGACGTATTTTACGTACTTCTGCCATGATATTGTTGATCCTGTTGTTTGTCAACCGTTTGATTTTGTTGATAGTGCTGTTGTTGACGATAATGCGATTGCTGGGACGAACCAGTTTCTCTCCGTTGAGCCGGCGGCGATGGCTGAGCGCCCCTCTGCTCCCATCTTGGCACATTGCTGGACCGATAATACGATCGATTTTGTTGTTGTTGTTGTGGAGCATATTCTGGATTATAATGACGAACTGGTCTAACAGAAACATTGCTGCCTTGACTTCGATTTGAATGTTGCGGTTGTTGTTGATGCTGTTGTTGCTGTTGTAGAGATTGTGTACGGGTCTCTCGATAATGAGTACTGGCGCAAACCTCATCCCAAGCTAAGCATAAAAAGTAGAATATTATACTATAAAATATCGACAAGAGAAATATATATGATGGTAGGCAAAATACTCGAAACCCTTAAATAAGTGCTCGCCGAATATTTTGAAATACGTTCTGACTAAGTTCATAAGATGAATCTTATTTGTGCTATTTGTTAACTACTCATGCCTGTTTGAAGATATTGAACAATCTGATTATAATTTTTGAAACTCAATTTGTCATTTGAAGATTCTGTTAGAGAATTTTTTCTTGACAGTTGTTCCTGATGTTGTAGACGATTTTGTTCACTAAAAAACAATAAAATAATATCAACGTAATACAATCCGTATTTTTTACTTGAATGAGACTCCCATTACCCACCTCTCATTATAGTATTGAAAAGTTTTCTCGCTATCAATCGAATTTGGCGTTGATTGTGTTGACTGCTTAGAAGAAGTTGAATTTCGACGATCATCCAAATCTACAGAGTTTGATGGTGTTGTCATGGTTATTTTGATGAGCAGTATAAATTAATCTAGAAAAAGTCACAGAGGCTTAATGATTACCGATTTAATATTTTCATGCATAAATCAATTATGAGACACTATCCGACATACTTTTTTACGCTAAAGATTCCAAGAATTTAGTGTCTTACACGTAATATGTCGTTTTTTCATGTGACACGGAAAAACTTCATTATTTTTATCAATCACGGACATAGTTCAATTTCTGTATATTAGGAAGAACTGATAGTCATTTGTAGTTTACAAAATGCTGTAAAAGTCCATTTTAAAAGCACCTCTCTTGAGACAGAAAGTAAATGTTCATAATTAAAAACGTTTTTACTCAGAAAAAACTAGGTCGTCCGAAAATTGAGGCGGGAGTTTGAACAATAAATAATAGATTCTAAAAGGCTGTTTCCAGCGTTGACTGTAGGCCAAAGTGAAAGACGAATGTACTATTTGAGGTCAAAAACGGTTAGTGAAAGAATACGAACACATTTGGAATACTGACAACTTAACGAAGAATAGTGAGGATATTCAACAGAATACAAAACGAACAGCAATCTACTTCGTACCATACTTCTACTTGTTTTACACTTTTTCTTTAAGAAAAACGCTTTTCGATAAAAAAACCAAAATCTAGTCTTAAACCTAACAGAACGGAAGGTAAATATTATTTATTAAAGGAAAATAATCGTTCTTAGAAGTTACCTGTCAATAATAGCTGCCAAAAATAGCCGTTGAAATTTGAAAAACAACCGAAAAAAGATTCGTATTCGTCAAAAAGCTACACTTTCATTGACTAAAACAAAATCTATAAACCTAAAGACGATAGATGGCTCTCACTATAACTCACATGGTTTTTCCAGTTCTGCTCGACTTATTTCAGTCAGTAGTACGTAAAAAACTGAACAAAATGACGTACTTTTTATTCTGAGCAAAGTAATTTTGAGAGCGAAATATCCTGATTCAAAATACAGTTCAGTGAAATTTCAGGTTTTTAAAAAATCTCTGAAAAAAAAAAACATCCAAATTAACAGGAAATCGGTTAAACTACCCAGTTTTTGATACTTGGTTCAATGAAATCAAAACTGTAGCTTAGTCTATCATCGTTAAGTAAAAACTCAGGTTTTAAAATATTTTGACTTTTATCAGAATTAAACATATCTCAGAAAGTTTAGTTGCCCCACAGAAAAACTCCGAATACGGATACAGCGTAGAATTTTACCTATCTGAGATGATTTTCAGGATATGGTTTAAAACCGACTTTTATTGGCAGGTAACTTCCAATAATACCAGAAAATTCACTCACTCACGTTACAGGACTTCTTTTATTTGACGCGGTTCTCGACGTATGGCGCTCATCTTTCAAAAAGGCTGAACATACACCGTGTTTGCTTATATCATTGAATGAACTGATCGATTCTATTCATTTTTGCACATTCTATCTGGTGTATCTATGTGTACATTAGATGTCAGGAGCTTCCAGTTAAATTTGTCGAAATATGCAATAATATGGCGTCTAAACACACATTCTAAACAAAAAATGCGACTTAAGATCAAGTTTAGTCACATTAATGTGTCAAGTCGCATTTTTTTTAGAGTGCAGATATGCACTGAAGAAAACATTATATTTTATATGGTGTTACAATCCTTCTTCGGTTTTATATCAACAAAGTATGGAGTATGTTCATGCAACTCAATCTCATCATTGATTTCAGATGAACATTCGTTACGCAATTATGAATTTATCAATGGGATTGTCTCTAATCTCACAGATAGTTTAAAAGAACAATTAAAGTCTATATAATAATACCAACATGTCTCATGAATATTATTTTGTAGAACTTGTGTATTTTGTTCGGCTTGTCCACGTAACGCGACACTTCGCTGATCAAGTTTATAAAAAAAAATTTTCCCTTTCGAAAATTTTGAATACATCACTAGATGTAATTTTTAATTCTAAGAACCCGTTTAAAACGCTTTTTTGATAAAAATTGGTTTTTGAGTCTCAAAATCTGTTTTTGAACATTTCAAAAATCGGATTTTCTATTTTTAGCCGAGAAAGTTTTCGAAAAATAAATTTCTAAACATATGGTTTCGTAGAAAATTTAATTCTCTACAAAATGGCGTATTTGGTTTTGAGC